TGTTTCTTTATTGCAAATACACACTGCCCGAAATAAAAACCGCTATGTCATCAAATTCACAAACCAACTCTTTTATCCACTAGGCCATTGTCCCGTTATAAAGTTTGCTGGAGCAAACTTTTAACATAACAGCTAGCAGCTGATTAGGCTGCCACTGCTGGGTAAAGAGTGGCAACCTAATCAGCTGCTTCCTGCTATGTCTTGAGTGCGGATGAAGTGCTTTTATCTTTCTTTTATTAGCGGCGCTCATATTGTATTTATTTCTATGCTTGACCGACAACGACTGAAGTGTTGTGATAAAAACAACAAAGTTGAGGACTATAAATAGTGTAACTAATGGTACCTCTTCATCCCTTCAGTGTCCTTTTTGTTTACTATTTTCTCTGAAACTTTGTTTGTCATATGTTCACCTCATAATATTTTCGGCATGCTTCTGTATAGCCATATTTCTGTGGCCTTCAGTTTCTTCTCCATCTATAAGGATATTGTCTAGCATTCACTGCCATATAGAAGGACTAATATTCCATAACAGTTCGGCACTAATTTCTTTTTAATGAAAGGTTTCTGTTTCTTTTAGGATAGAATAAAACGTTACCTTTAAATTAATTATTCCTGTAACAAAGGGATTGTATCTTATTCATCAAAATAGAATGATTAATTATTGAATTTGCCTGTGCTAGATATTTCCACAGATAATTTAGGTATTTGTAAATCTGTATTTATGAATGTCATGTTCTGTCAGGTTATAAGCTATAAAAACTTTCCAGATATTCCTTTTTTTTTTATCTACGAATTATCATGGCTTGTATGGAAAGATAAGCGAAATAGCTCCCCGTTGCCGTCTTCAGAGCATTGAATTCAGGGTTGTCATTTTAGATTGGTAGCCATCCAAGTTTTAATTGATTGATTTTGTTTTATAGGGCTTTTCAATCTTTTGTAGTGTATTTAAAGCCGGAACCTGTTCTTAAATATTAATATCCTACTAATTAATCCATAACTGGGGGAGAATAGGTCGATTCATACCTTTCTCAGAGGTATTTGCGCGCAGTTGAACATAACGATCCCGACTGCAATTCGAACTTGGTTCTCCGATTTCCAATTCCGAGTCTCTATCCATTACCCCCCCCCCGCATATCCTAGCTAAAAACAACTTGTATTCCCAAACGGTCACCCATCTGGGTATCAACCAGGCTCGACGTTGCTTAAATTCACTGACAGTACGATGGCTGGTGTTTCGGCGTGATATGGCCGTAAGCCTCCAATGTTACAGAGTCCACTTTAGTTTACTATTTAATTCATAGCTGGAAGGAGGAGGAGATGGTCTCATGAGTGACCACCAGGAAATACCAGATGCTTTAAGCTTGGGTGTACCGTACTGTAATGAACAATGGCTCGGAATTGTTAATCGGATAGCAGAGTTCCAATTCCGGTTGGGTTTGTTATATTCACTTACGGCTAAATATCCTTGGAAAAGGTATGAATACACCTCCTCTACCCTCAGCTATGGATTAATTATTAAGACTTGTATGACTCAATGATTATTTTCTAAAAACAAATGTTACAATATAATAATTGGTGTGAGGCTGGACAATGGACAATGGCTCGGAATTGTTAATCAGATAGCCGAGTTTCAATTCCGGTTGGGTTTGTTATATTCATTTACGGCCAAATGTCTGTTGCAGTAAGTACTAGTGAGCTAGCCAAAATGGTCTACTCATTTTATAGTTCACCAATAGAAGGGTTAACCAATCAGAAAGCTCAAAATATTCAATGCGACGTGTATAAAGGCAGCCATTTTTTTCTCCCAAAATATCTCCACTGCCTGCCTGATATCGAAGACTCAAAGAATTAGCAGCCACTACTTTCTCCGAATTGCCAACCTCTGATATTAAAGAGATTACGGACTTCACTGGATTCCATATTCAGAGACTACGGCAAACATGGTCAACAATATCCTTGGAAAATGTATAAATGCACTTCCTCTGCCCTCAGCTATGGGTTAATTATTAAGGCTTGTATGACTCAATTCCTATGTAATAAAAATATTGTTCCAGTATAATAATATTTATGGCTTTAAATAACCCTCAAAGTGTTGATAAGCCGTAGAAAATGAATCCTTCAAAATCAAAAAAATAAAGGTTGCAGTTTAGTAATTCCTTTAAGTTACACAGATGTTGAAGCCCTGAGACTACGACGGCCGAAACCTGGTGATGATAATAAGAGATTTGGAGGATAGTCCAAATATAAATCGTGAAAATAAGATATTAGTGTACTGCAAAAATAAAATAAAAAAAGAAGTGAGTTCAGGTGTATTAGGCCTGATTTTATTTGCTTTGTTTTTCTTTTTCAGTGACTTTTTTTTTATTTTTTTGATTGATTCTCAGAATCATTTATGCATTTCTTGTTCATGCGTCTTTAGATTTGAAATGACGATCAGATTTTATTTAACTTGGTAATTTGCCGTTCGTTTTTTGTCTCTTATTCCTATTTAACGCGGAAGATATAATCTTACCGTTCAGCTACGTTTTTAGCCTCATATATGATTTAGATTTCTTTTCATTGTTTTTTTTTCCCGGCGTGCCTCGATATCTTTCTTTCCTTTAGATCGATTTTTTCTCCTGAAACACCAGTTCTATCAGTTTCAGAGCATCAACTAACTCGCAACATCTCTCCTTTTCGCTGATCGATTCGTTGTTTAATCTCGACGCTTGCTGCTGCAGTGTTTGTCTAAACGCCGACCGACTTGAATTGTTCCGTCTGTTTTAACGTCAGGATGCGCGCGCAATGATCAACCAATCATTTCTTTACAGTAATCTTTTACTCTCGGTATCTTTTTGTGTTTATTTATTTTTCCCTTTAACTTCGTCCTTTTTTTTTTAAAGCTCATCTGCCCATCTATCCGCTTTTCAATTGGCTTTTGAACTTTTTCTTTCTCGTTCCAGCGAATCGATTGCCTAAAGCAGCGTCCTTTTCTTCAGAAAATTCTTTATTCTATTTTTTTTTCTCTGCTTCTAAGCAGTTATTTTTTTTCTATCCGTCTTTCTATTATTTTTCATCCTTCTTCCTTGATTCCTGTCTGTGCTTGATATGTTAATCATCTATCGTCTGCAAGATAATTCCCCCCCCCCCAAAGTTTCCTTTCTTTCTCCTCAAAATGTTGTCATCCATATTATGGTCATTCGTAATCGCTTACCGAAACCTGCTATTTTCTACGTGAAGCATCAAATTATCTTTTTTACTCATAATTTGTTTATTCGTCTCAATACATGTCGTTTTCAACTGCGCACTTGGACCGATCTTAACGATTGCTTATTTGGTTGAGTCATAAATAATGTCCGTTTTGTTCATAAATTTTAGTCTTAGAAATTATAATTGTAATTTGTATTTACTCAAACCCCCACCCAACGAGGTCAGGTTGTAACACAAGGTCGGTTTAATGTGGGGATTCCGAGCGCGTGCACCCGGGCAAGGAAGAAAAAATCCCCGAGCCCCCGCAACCGTCGTTTGCGCTAGCTTCGGTGCGTGCACTGATCCCTGTCTCTAGTGCAATGAGAAGGCGAGGCCTCGGACAGCTGCAGCCCAGGGCCAGCACCTCTTAGTATAATTTTCCTCAGTTGCAACGCTGTCCTTTGACAGAGAAGCCCCTGAGCGCACTCTGCCCAAAGACAGAGTGGCAACTGAAAGATGATAAGTAGACGTGAAATTAATCAAAAATAGTAATTTGCACGCTTAGTCTTAAAAATTATAATTGTAATTTATTAAATTACATACTCTGAATTAATTTTCACTGACATAGTTTGTGATTATTTGGTCCTAGTCATCTTGGTCCGAATTCTTTTTTTTTTCCAGTTTTTGACGCCATTTTATTTGCGGAATCGGTTTTACAAATACCCTTGGTCCTAGAATGATGAAGTTTTCCTCTTACGGTTGATTTTCTTTTTAATGTAGGGTGCATTTGACTTATTCACCATAAGAACTCTTTACCCAAACGATTATTTAACAAAATATCAAATATTCACAGACAACCTACTCAGAAAATCTCCATGATATAAAAACGTTCGTTATGTACAATTGCGATTTGGTTGAGTCATATATAGTTTCCGTTTTTTGGGTTTTTTTTTTAACAATTTTAGTCTTAAAAAAGTATAATTATAATTTATTAAATTAAATCATTCTGAATTATTTGTCTCTGACATGTAATAGTTGGTTTGTGATTTTGTTGTCCTAGTCATCTTGGTCCGAATTCATTGTTTATGGCAAATTTTTGAGGCTATTTCATATGCTAAATCGTTTTTACAACTACCGTTGGTCCTAGAAGGTGAAGTTTTCCTCTTGCGGTTGATTTTTTTCTTTTTTTATGTAGGGGTGCATTTGACTTATTCACCATAAGAACTCTTTACCCAAACCATCATTTACCAAAATATCACATATTCACAGCGAACCTACTTGGAAAATCTCCATAATATAAAAAGAGTTTATGATTTGATTGAGTCATAAATAGTTTCCGTTTTTGTTTATGAATTTTATTCTTAAAAAATATAATTATAATTTTTTAAAATATATATTTTGAATTATTTTTCACTGACTTGTTGTCATTTATCAAGCAACTCGCCTATAAATGGCAGTAGGTTTTGATGTGAAAAGTTTTCAGTGAAGACTTAAATGTGGTTAAATCAGAAAGTTTTGTCCATGAAAACGTTTTGCTTTTTTATTATTTCTTTTTTGGTTGATTTGTTTTTTACGGTTTATCGACATTTTGAATGTTATTTAAAGTCAGATTATTTTTCTTATTTTAGATTGTAAGAATTTGTTCTTTTAAAGATAAGGGTTTAGGGATAAAAGTCTTAATAATTAACCCATAGATGGGTGGAGAAGATGTGGATGCATACGTTTCTCACGAGTATTTGCGTGTAAGTGACTATATCGAACCCAACGGGAATTGCACTCGGTTCGCCGAATAACAATTCCGAGCCATTATCCATTACATCCGAACATCCATGCTTACAGCACCTGGTATACCTAAGCGGTCATTCACCTGGGTACTGACCAGGCTCGACGTTGCTTAACTTCGGTGATCATACGGAAACATGTGTTTCAAAGTGCTGTGGTCTTAAACCAAAACGTTTTCCGTCGATCGAAAAATAAAATATTCGGTTTGTGTAAGCTCAGGTGAATATGGCGAATATGAATAGAACAGACTAACCGATCTCGCTTTTTCCTTCTCTTATTCTTGCTGTGTTCGGCATTGCATTGACAATGAGTACCTTCTCATTTAATCCGCCGTGTACGCTTCTACTGCTGTGCAAACACTCAAACATGTTAGTTCGTTCCACATTTATTAATTACTATGTATGGCTACCATTTACGATGATACTATAATAGAAGAGAGCTAGAAAAGATTTAGTCTCCTTTTCATTTTCCCCATTATGTGCATTATTATATCAGTGATATAATAACACAGTATATTACACATGGAACGGAATGGCTGAAAAGAAAAAGAATGACAAACATGCTTTGTTTTCAGATAGACTTTTATACCACTAAGCCATACACAAACTATGCATAAATGCCCCATGCAGAGAATAATATATCTACACAGCAAATCAGAGTGTAATGAGAAACAAACGGGAAGCATCTGAGATATAATATGGAGATAATCTTGTGTCTGGAGAAGCCAGATTATTGGACTCCAGATACATAGCATTTCAAATTGTTCATCGCGAAGTAATTTATAAAAACTTTTTTTCATATTCTATGAAACATAATTAGAACTCCTTTTTCATTTGTATTTCTTTCAGAAATATCTGAGCAAAAATATGGCATTCCTTGTTCCAGTGACTTTAACAAAACTGCACTGTGCTTGACCTATTGCCGTTCGAATTCTTCAACGTCCTCTATTAATCAGAATTCGGATAAGTTTTATATGGTTACCAAGCCTGACTTCCAGATGGAGTTCGCATTCATTTACACCTGTCTTCTTTAGCGTTATGGATCTACTTATGTTACCCGGTATATCTTCCACTTGGTCGAACAGATTCCAGCATTCACCTGCATGCTTACATCCGGGATAATCTTCTGATCAGGCTATTGTCTCTCGAGACCCCAGACAACTCTTTCATCAGCTTCCGTCTTTCGTTACTAAACTCTGTTAGCAATTTCTTTCTCCTTTATTGCTCCCCCTCTTTCCAGGACTGCAGAATATTAAACATAATCTCTGACAGTATAGAAAAAGCAAACTCTCTCCATCTATCTGCGAAAAACTTTGTCTTCGGTGACTATAATGTGCACCCTGACACGTGATTGAAATATTCTAATTACACAGATGTTTTCGCCATTCAGATATTAATTTTTTATTGCAAAATTCCTTAGTCAAATAGTGGATTTTCCTACTCGTTTCCCTAGAAAAAGCGAAGAACTTTATCCTCTATTTCATCTATTTCTTACCTCCTCTCCTCACACATGCCAAGATTCGCATTACTACCCTTCTGGTAACTCGGACCATTCTGTGGTATCTATTGATATTTCGTTCCAATCATCTATTAAACACCAACTGTTACCAGCATATTGAAAGGGACTCACTCCATGATTTTCTTTATGAGGCATCATTAATTAATCATAGCTAAGGATCGGAAGGTCATGAAAGATTGAAATTAAGTTCAATATATATATATATATATATATATATATATATATATATATATATATACAGGGTGTCCATAAAGTTCGTGTGTCACTTTAAAAAATGTATAATTTTATTTGTATTTGCGATATAAAATAATCTGTAAAAATATGTTATAAAGTTTAATGTACCTAGTTTTTAAGTATATAGCTAAAATAACTAATGTGATTTCAGGTATTACTGTAAATCAGTTGGCAAATGTTTTCCGTGAACTGCAAAATCGTATCGTTTACCCTTTGTATTGCTAATGATGGAGGACATGTGGAAACTTAAATAAAATTTCAATAAAACCTAAAAAAATATACATTTTTTTCTTAATAATCCTTTTTACAAATTATTTCTATCGCAAATACAAATAAAGTTATAATTTTTTAAAGTGCATTTGAACTTTATGGACATATATAAATATATATATATATATATATATATATATATATATATATATATATATGGATAGATATTATTCCAGAATCATTTTCCGATTTTATTTAAGATGAAATTTTCCCTCTCTAACCTTCTAACGTTCTTTCCTGGAATAACAAGTTGCTTCACACTTTTCGCATACGATTTCACTTTCAAGTTTGTTCCACTGCTCTTTGGACTACCATAACTGAAATTCTTCTCACACGTGCTAAACGTCTAATGGATCGAGTTAGATCATTTCTAATTGATGATCCCTTTTCCTGTTGTGAACTCCTGATCCAGTTTTCCTCGTTACTGTTGCCTCTTTTTATTAACCATTCTATTGATGGTTCTTGAATGGACTTTGAAGATACAAGCCAGATTATGAATATTAGTACCATTACTGAAGGCCTGAATGATCTTATTCCTCTCAGCATTGCTCAGTTGGGAAGATAATGGAGTGAACACGAAACGATTTCAACCTGTTTTATTTCTTGCTGAATAACTCAAAGAATTTTTCAGTGATTCTTCTGACAAATGTTATCAAGATGGCTAAACGCCTTATCTGAAAACCTAGATAAAAGAAACTTGATTTGTGGCTTTTAGATATCAAACATTTTGGGGATGGACAATTATCCCATGTTGTTACACAATTTGGATAATTTTGCTTTTATACCCGGTATATATTTATCTGGACATAATTACTCGATGCACTAATATGTGTATTTTATGTTATTTCATTGAAGTTATAATTTCTAATACAGTTAGATTTCTTAAGGAAATTAGAGGGTATTGTATGGATTAACACCATGAAAGACTCCATGTTGGTTGTTTGGTAGAATTTTAAAAGGATTTGGATGAAATCGATACAATTAGTTAGTATGCGCGCATAGTTGGTATTTTTATATATATATATAAATATGTTAAGAAATGGACGAGGTCCGACAATTTATTTATTAAAGACATTTTTATTTATGTTTAACGTTGTTATTTTATAGATACAAGTATTTAAGCAAATGCTCTGTTTATGATAAACAGTATTAAATAACATTTACCGGCCTGAATGTCGAGAAATTTTCATAGAAAATATTCGTTCATAGACAGGATTCGAACCTGCATCCTATACGGAACCGTCATATACGCTGACGTGCCTTAACCACTCGGCCACCATGAACCTTATGGTAGACAAGGTCGAATTTACTGTTATAAACTACAATCTTCCATGAATCTCGTACATTCATAACTGCTCTGGCGTATCGAATGTAAACAAATGACGTCATATGTTAAGAAATGGACGAGGTCCGACAATTTATTTATTAAAGACATTTTTATTTATGTTTAACGTTGTTATTTTATAGATACAAGTATTTAAGCAAATGCTCTGTTTATGATAAACAGTATTAAATAACATTTACCGGCCTGAATGTCCGAGAAATTTTCATAGAAAATATTCGTTCATAGACAGGATTCGAACCTGCATCCTATACGGAACCGTCATATACGCTGACGTGCCTTAACCACTCGGCCACAATGAACCTTATGGTAGACAAGGTCGAATTTACTGTTATAAACTACAATCTTCCATGAATCTATTTACATTCATAACTGCTCTGAATGCACGAGGCGTATCGAAAATTTTAAACAAATAAATAAATGACGTCATATGTTAAGAAATGGACGAGGTCCGACAATTTTCAAATTTATTAAAGACATTTTTATTTATGTTTAACGTTGTTATTTTATAGATACAAGTATTTAAGCAAATGCTCTGTTTATGATAAATAGTATTAAATAAATATTTACCGAAGAAGAAATTTTTCAAAAAAAATACGTTTTTAAATAAAATGGATTCGAACCTGCATCTTATACGGAAATTTCTTAATCATATACGTAATAAAATTTTTTACCTTAGATGTTCAATGAATGTAAAATTTAAAAGATTGTAGACAAGGTCGAATTTACAAAATTCCATGATTTTTTATTTACCAAAGGTTATTTATATCAAAACGTTATAACATGAAATGGCGTATATGACGGTTCCGTATAGGACAAGGTTCGAATATATATATGAACGAATATTTAAATAGGTTTAAAATTTTCGGACATTCAGGCCGGTAAATGTTATTTAATACTGTTTATTTCATAAACAGAGCATTTGCTTAAATACTTGTATCTATAAAAATAACAACGTTAAACATAAAAAAAAAATGTCTTTAATAAAAAAATTGTGTCGGACCTCGTCCATTTTTTTAATATATACGTCATTTGTTTACATTCGATACGCCAGAGCAGTTATGAATGTACTGAGAGATTCATGGAAGATTGTAGTTTATATTTAAATTCGACCTTGTCTACCATAAGGTTCATATTGTATCTGAGTGGTTAAGGCACGTCAGCGTATATGACGGTTCCGTATATATATGCAGGTTCGAATTTGTTATGAACGAATATTTTCTATGAAAATTTCTCGGACATTCAGGCCAAGTAAATGTTATTTAATACTGTTTATCATAAACAGAGCATTATATTAAATACTTGTATCTATAAAATAACAACGTTAAACATAAATAAAATGTCTTTAATAAATAAATTGTCGGACCTCGTCCAAAAAACATATGACGTCATTTGTTTACATTCGATACGCCAGAAAAAAATGAATGTACGAAAGATTCATGGAAGATTGTAAATTTATAAAAAATTTGACCTTTGTCTACCATAAGGTTCATGGTTTTGAGTGGTTAAGGCACGTCAAATATATATGACGGTTCCGTATAGGATGCAGGTTCGAAAAATGTTTATGAACGAATATTTTCTATGAATTTTTTTTTTTTTTAACATTCAGGCCGGTAAATGTTATTTAATACTGTTTATCATAAACAGAGCATTTGCTTAAATATTGTATCTAAAAAAAACAACGTTAAACATAAAAAAAAATGTCTTTAATAAATAAATTATCGGACCTCGTCCATTTCTTAACATATGACGTCATTTGTTTACATTCGATTGTTATAAGAGCAGTTCTTGAATGT